TTAGTCCTGTATTGGGTTCCGGGAAGCTCAGGGGGGGTAGGGGATTAGGGGAATTATAAAAATTGATGTATTTACATTTTATAGATAAATACTTATTGTATTGATAAGAGGAGATGCTCGGCTGGTATCCCAAATTGCACTCGAGGAGGTGGTAAGAAAGGAGAGGGGATGTAGATAGGTGGTAAGGAGGAAGGTGGAGGGGTTGGGGGTTAGAGGGAGGAAGGAAAGGAAAGTGGATGAGGGTGGAGGCATGGCGGGGACCGCCGAGTGTCTCTGAAAATGTATTATTTTTTATTTTTTGTTTATGTACGTAAATGCATCATAATCTTTGTTGTTTAATTATGAAAATTAATAAAAAATTATTTTAAAAAAAATTAATTCTCAAAAAACTCCTAGCTAGAATTGCAATCTGACTTTTTAATTAATTAATAGAATTTTGAATGAAGAATATTTGCTTTATATCCTCCCTTCTAATATTGTAACAGTCTATCTAGTGGATTTTTATGAATATTGTGATTTGCCATTGCATTATATAAGGGAAAATCAACCATGATTGCCTCTGCAGTGGAATCAGAAGCCTGACATATAGGAAAGACCTCAGAGGAATAGTGACTGAAAAGATGTGGAGTAATAGGAGACAAAAGAAAATTTGTGTCATTTGAGAAAAGGAAAACTGCATGGTTCCAGGCAATGATTTCAATTATATTGGGAAAACATACTATCAATTGAAAGGCTTTTGGGCTTTCATGTTTATTCATGTACTATCATGATGTTGCATTTGTCATCTGCAATATTGATCTTTTGACACTAGAGAGAAAATATATTTATAAGCCAGTTATTATCTGGCATAGATTTCAAACATCTTTATTTAATATTTTTCATGACCTCAATATAAGATATTTCTCATTTTAACCTGCAAAAACAAAATTTTCCTTTTTAAACCAAGCTTTACCTCAAAAGAATTTTTCTTCAAACGGAGGTAGAACAGAACTTTTCAACTTTTCCAAATATTAAATTTCAAAACACACATTTTTCCTCATGTTTAACTTGAGCTTTTCCAATATTTTTTCTCACTTTTAATACACCAGTTATACAGAAAATATATTTCCATCTTATTAATTAGCAGGACGATAATGCTTCAGATTTGAGCTTCAAAATGTCGTGTGGAATGGACTGTAGCAGCTAAATTCAAAAGCAATTCAACATTTTGGACTTTAAACTACTTCTGGTTTACAGAATTTATGAGGAAATAAACCTCTGTTTGGTTATCAATGACAGATACTTGCAGATACAGAACTTTTTTTATACACATTAGAAAACTATAACATTACATTACTTTTCGACATAATCGCCACTCAAATTGAGGCACTTGTCATAATGTTTTACAAGGTTTGAAATTCCTTAGTAATAGTCACTCGGCGCCCCAAATCTGGGCTATATGGGGGAGTGATCAAAAACATTCCAATGGAACTGCTTCAAAAGTTCTTAGGTGCGTCTAGTGGTATGCAGGTGAGCATTATCGTGAACCAGCCAGCCATTCCCATGGCCTGGCAGCCAAAAGACCACGGACCGGTACCGGGCCATAGCCCATAGGTTGGGGACCCCTGATTTAAGGTAACACAGGTAGGAACTGTATTCATTTTCTCAAACATTCTGCAGTATATTTTGGAGACTGAATTATTATTTTCTATCAATCAGGGATTTATTTTCTTAACTGAGCTTACATTATATGTAACTTTGAATCATTTTCTTCAATAAATAAATGAAAAAATATAGTGTTTTTGACATTTGTTTAATTAGGTTCTCTTTACTGTATTCAGTTTTAGGGCTTGTATGGAGAACAGAGCCCATTTTAGGTAATATTTATGAATGAATGTTTAAAATTTAAAAGTGTTCACAAATTTTTAAGAATCACTACAGTATATTTAGCCAACATCACAATAACTTTCCTAGCAGCACTCAACAGCCCATTCTGCCAATTAAACTGCAAGGAAGCAGAGCAAGATACCTGCATAGTATTTGAATCAACCATCAAGAGGCAAACAGGACTTTGCTTGAAAGGCTATCACAAACGATAACATGGATAACCACTCATTCAGCATAGTGAATCTTGTTGCCCCCAGCAGATCCCCAGATACACCACCTCAGCAGGCACCCTTTGTAATGTCATATACTTGGGGCAGTGTTTGTCAGCAATATTGCCATCCTTTTTCTCCCATCCACAGCAATATCTACTGGTGGGGGGGAGGGAAACTATCAAATGTGAGAGTGCAACAGGGCAATATGCTCAATTGTACAATTTTGATTATTATAGCCTGGTCTTGATGCTTGATTGATGCTAACCTGATTTCAGATGGAACACAATTCCAAAATAGAGGGACAGCTACAGAAAAGGTATACCATCATGGTCCCTGATGACAAGCCTTCAAGGATGGGACTTGAAGGATAAATTTCTTTACTGTATCTTATGGGATATGCATACAGGTATTCCTCGACTTGCAACCACAATTGAGACCAGAATTTCCATTGCTAAGCAAGGTGATTAAGTGAGTCAGATCTGATTTTATGACTTTCTTTTTTGCTATGTTTGTTAAGCAAATCATGCAATTGTTATGTAAATCTGGATTTGCCCATTGATTTTTTGGGGGGAAGCCAGCTGAGAAGGTCACAAATGGTGATCACATAACTTTGGGATGCCAGATGCCCAAATTTTGATTATGTGGCCATGTGGATGCTGCAACAGTTGTAAGTGCAAGGACTGATTGTAAGACTTTTTTCAATGCAGTTGTAACTTTGAATGTTCACCAAATGAATGGTTGTAAGTCAACATTATCTATAAGCCAATGGAAGAAGATAATTCGAAAGATTTCTGAATCATGTAAACCACAAATCAATGATTTAAGAAATCCATTTTATTTATCCCAAACAAATCAGCAGATCAATAATAAGAACATATATAATTGAAAATTTGTGAACACTTTTAAATTTTAAACATTCATTCATAAATATTTATTTTCTTCTGAGGTTATATTCCTATGAATAGAACTTTAAATTCATAAAGTGATTTCAGCTCTCAGAAATACTGTAATACTTCAATGAAAGCTGTCCTTTGTGCATGATGAGAAGGGGGAAAGGGTACAATATGTAGATGAGTTCTTTTTTAGTTTCTGTGTAGCCACTGAATAAAACTCACCCTGGATTAAACTTCATTAGGTTTTTTGTTTTCTACATGATCTGAATTGCAGTGAGATTCATCCATCCTCCCTGAAATGGCTTGGCACATTCCCTCAATCCCACTTCCATACTTGATGATATTGACTTAGCAGAGTCAAACATGATAGCTGATTCCAAAATTATACATATAGCACATATAGGCACAGCAAAGAATAATGGTATGGTCAGCAGGAGATCACACAGCCCTCCCAGAAACAAAGAAAAAAGTTAATCCTCTTTTTTCATGCCACTGACTGATGGCTCAGAAAATAAGCTACTGCTTATGGTTGTAAAGTCCAGTGGGGAAACTGGACTTCAGGTGGCTGAGTTAATGTTCATAGCCCTCAAAAGAAAAACAGGTGAAAAGCTTTAAAACAGCATCAAAGGTGCTGTTTGTGTATACAAAGTATTACTGTACTTTATTTTAGACACAAGTGTTGATCAAGACAAAGATAGTAGTGAATACAAACAATGACAGGATTGCTATCATTTGATGTTACAGATTCCCATTTTCTCCCTGTCTCCCTCATCACAAGATTGGACCATAACAATGTTGGCCCGTTTAAACTTTCTGAGTGTCTTTGAACAGGACAGCATTGGCAGAGCTTTTGAGAGGCATTCAACATTCTACTTTGTGCGTTCCTTTACATCACTGTTCCTTCATCTCAGTTATGAGTGGAAACAATTCTTATTTTGAACTTTCATTTAATTTGTTTCTTGTTTGGTACATAACTCGGGAAACTGGAATTTATCTCCATTTATATCTGAATGGCCTCATGGACATCCTTCTATCAGCAGTATAATTTGGATGTGGAAAAGGCTCTGGCAACTTTTGCCCTTACAAAATGTTTATTAGTGACAAGAATAGTTCCTTATTCTATCTTAGGAATGGTTTCATATTTAACCAATTCTTAACCCAAAAAAAGATTATTTCTTTCTCCAAAGTATTAAGTCTCAGTAGCATAATTCATTTACAGAATATCTCAGCTTCAATCCTCAACAAAACTTCTAAAAAATGATACCCCCCCCGCAAATGTTATTCAAAGTAGAAAGATTTCAGACAAGTTATCTTTAATTTTTTGGGGGGCAGTTGTTTCATTACCCAAAATAGGCAAAGTCATCACTGATGATGTTACCTAGTTTGGGTGATAAAACTTCTGCAAGAAAGCAACCAAGCTCTGTGCACCAAGGATTCTCATACTGCAGGATACAGCATAACATATACACCCAATACTGTACAGCTGAATTTTAAAATAAATTTCTGCATATCTAAGACTCACCTATGATGCCACTATCCCTGCTTTCAAGAGTAGATGTAGGACTTGTGACAGCTCCGTAATTACAGTCTTTTGCTATAACATCTTTAGCGCTAGTTTGAGGGAGAGTGGAACAAGGGCTACTGGCAGGTGGTGAAGCAGTACTGCTGGTCAGTGTGGAACAGGGACTTATTCGCTGGGACACTGCTATAGTCTGGAAAATTGGAAGCAGGAACACAGACATCACAGTAAAACTATCAGTAAAAGCTTATAGAGTTTCATTAACATAGTGAAGAATTCACTTGATATAATCACAAACATGTTAGACTACTGGAAAATTGATATATAGATTTACTCTTTTATTTCCTTATAAACAGTATCATTTTTCTGCTCTTTAGATACAGAACATGTGAAAAATGCATTATTTTAGCAATAACAAACAGCAAACTTAGCACAAGATGGAACCTGTATCATTAAGATACTTTCTTCTGCCCAATACCTTTTAAAATCGTGTATTTTTTACTGAGTTCTAATGTATAATAAAATACATGAAGCTGGACTATTGACCATGTATTTATTATATATAACAAAATAATTTTATTCTTTGAGTATGGTGGTTATATTTAATTACTTCTAATTTGCAACAAAATAAATAAAGATAATGGTTATTTTAGAATAGCACATTTTAAACAATTTGTGACTCTATTAATATTTATAAGCTGCCTCAACTCATAAAAATTCTGGCCAGTGTACAATAATTCAAAAATAATTCAATTTAAGAAACAAAATAACAACATTCACAATAATGTTCGCTCAAATGGGCCAAACGTTCACTGAAACAGTGGTATTTTTACCTGCTTCTTAAAAGCAAAGAGGGTTGGAACTGCTCATATTTCTGGAGAAAAGATGTTTTATTAGATAAGTGAGGGAGACTTACCAGATCAACTTGTGACCTTCCCTGTCATCTTCCCCATTGATTTTACTTATGGGAAACTAGCAGGCAAGATTGCAAAAGGTGATCATGTGGCCATGGGACACTGTAACTGCCATAAGTGCAGCCTGGATACCAAGCATCCAAATCATAATCTCATAACTGTGGAGGCACTTCAATAACTGGCATCTCAAGGACAGTCTCAAGATTCATTCATTTATCTTTGCCACAATTTTGATGGTCTCTGAGCAAATGATCAGTAAACAAGGATTACTTATACTAAATTGCTAGAGAGCTGTCATTTTTGGAGGGCTGCCCTTTCTAAAAAAATTATTAGCAACAAGGGAAATTTTTAATGGCCAAATGAATGAGTAATTTACAACAACAAATTGTTTAAGACCATTGTTTGATCATATTAAGGATTTTACTGTGTTTCTGTTGAATATGGTTAAAAAGAGTAGAAAAAAAATTGGACATAAATGTAAGAGGGACATGTTTTTTAAGTAATATATTATTTCCTTCTTTTTTTCTTCTCTCTCTCTTTGTTTTGTTTTTGTTTTAAGATATGAGAAATATAAAATTGTTGGGATGGCTTGTATGAGGAAAAAGACTTAAATACTTAAGTGTAATTAACTCTTAAGAAAATCTTAACAGGTAAAAATGTTTTTGAACATTGTGGGAAAAACAAATTTAAATAAGAACTTTAAAAACAGGATCTATGACAAGGTGATTAAGATGATTAATTAGAAAAGAAGCTTCATATTGATGTGGTTGTTGCTTGTAGAAACACTAGAAAAATGTTTATATTCAATTGTTATCTATTAAAATACTAAGAAATGTACTAATTTAAGGTTGATAAAAGAGAATATTATTGAAAGAAGAAAAAATCAAGGAAAGTTACTATGTGGATTACGGAATTATAGAAACTAATTGTTATTGATTGTTTGCAAATGTAAGCCCAGACAACACGCTGTTTACCAAATATTAAGGTGATTTTGTTAAAAAAATTAATAAAATATATTAATTTGCTTACCAAAATGGTAACCATCTATCTACTTGCAGTCCACCAGCTTTCAAACTGCTGGTCAGTAGGAGCTGGAGAGTGTGACAGGAGTTCACCCCATCCCACGGCAAATAACTGGATCTCGAATGCGAGTCTGCTGATCATCAGTCTACTGTCCTAATCACGTGAGCCACTGCCAGACTGCTGAAGCCCTTATCTATTGGTTTACATGGGAATGCAGTCAGACTGGCAATTCTTGTAAATTTATGGACTTGTTCTGGTTGCTTTTGCCTGACAAGTTCTAGTTAATCACCAATATGTATGATTTTCATACATCTAATACAAGATGAAATTTGAATCATAGCATGGAATATTTTGTTTTCCAAAAGCAGAATACAGTGAGAACATTATCATTCTGCACAAAGTTTTAAACTCACCTGATTGTCTTCCTGTCCTTCCATGTTATACTGATTCCCTGCCTGTAGCTCAGTGACTTTTTCTCCCAGGAGGAAGCCCAGACGAGTCATGAGTGTGTTTGCTGCCTCATCTACAGAGGGAGGAGGTCCCAGCTCCTGTTCAGTTTCACCTGCATGGAATGAGAAAAGGATTTTAACTATATCCTAGATTTTATATATAAAAATACGATCTTGCACTTGTAGCACTGAAAATATTCTGCACACTATTATAAAGAGGCTAAAGAATATGCTTTTTAAATGGAAAAGTGCTGTTGGATTGTTATATTCTAGGTTGGTCCAACTCATGGAACAGAAAGAATTACACTGATAAATTAAAAAGAATTGTGGACCGGAAGGAATAATATTTGTGCAATCTGAAGTTCAGCATATAGTGATACAGCAGTAGCAGTGCAGCTGACGGTGTCAATGAGGTCTGGAAGTAATATATAATCAGTATGACATTCAGGTTTATAGCAGTGACATTTGGCAGTGGTGAATTTTAAAAAAGGTTGGCAGGACAGTATGAAGGTAGCACGAAACCTATGTGCCATATGTTTCATAGGCTTGTCTACACACAATACTCAAAATTTTATTAGAATATAATTATGCAAAAGTAGATTTTTTGTTAGTGTTTGCAACCATGTCATTTTAAATTTGGGAAATATGTATATAAATTTTGAGACAAAAAGATGCATACCTACATCTATTTCTAACAGTTGCTTTTAGATAACATATAAGATGTTATTAAGCACAATAAGCAAATAACAAGCCAAGTATCTCTACATAAAGTATTCAAGAAAAAAATATAGCCATAGAAAAAATTAGCGGCAGGACAATATTTTTAATTTTTGATTAAGACATCACATTCTCAACTAGCCTGAAAAGTAATCTAGTTATTCCCATGGAATCCTTTATGTCACTTTAATTTATTTGCAAATCATTTTTCATTTGTTCCCTCATAAGCATTTATGACAGAAATTAGCTGCCATCTTTATTTAGAGTGCTTACTAAGATTATAATGTTTCATAAGGATTTTCCATTGCAAATCAAATAAAATACTTATGCACTAGCTCCCTCAATTTTAACCTGAAAATCAACACCCAGATGAGCAGCGATTAACAATCATGAAGTAAACAATATTCCAATCAAGCAACGGCCAAATAAGCTAACAGTCCTATATGTAATACTAAATTGTATATTGTTTGATTCTCAGTTATTAGCTTATGAAACTATTCAATCCATTTTTAGCATTCTGTTACAAGTTCCCCATTCTACTCATTTATTCTTCTCCAGCAAGATATTAGCCCAGCTCATAATTCCCATCCAATTTGCTTCCTCTTAAAGAGAAAAAAAATCCTAAAGATTTTTCTTTTTGTGGTCCTCTACTTTTAATATCACTTGTTCCTGACAGACTTCTTCAAATAATTAAACAAAGAATCCTTGATGTAGATGTTCAGAGTGAAAGAACAAAAATTCCTTCTTATTGCTTCAAGAACCTCTTTCATCACCGTTCTAGTCCACAAATAAACTTCATAACATTGTTTTATATTATACACAAAAACATATTTTTCTAAGTAAGGTTTTATATCTGTTTAGACTTCAGAAGTTTGAACTGAAAAAGATGAATTGCAGTTTGGCCAAACTTAAACCCACACCATTTGGATAGGTCTGGATTCTGGCTGCAGGGAAAATCTGGACAGGTTTTATAGAATACTAGGGTAAAGCTAGAGAGTCTTTCCTCACTTTTCCCTCCTCTTCCAAATGGTCTTTGTTCGTCTGATCCAGTAACCTTCCCAGCACCATCTCTCCCTGTATGTTTCCTTAACTAATGCTGTGTTTCAATTCAAGGGTAACATAAGCAACCAGTCCACTGCCCTCCCAATTCTTTTGCGTTTCTCCTCATTTCTTCAGTCATCACCAATGCATACTGGGTGATTTCTGGGTATATCTTTTTCCAATTGTATCCCAACCTAGAACTTTCTACCTGGTACATAAAAGTTCTGAGTCTATGTCTAGACCATCTGAAAGTATCTGCTCTGAGCACATAATATTTTGCATATCTCAACGGTGTTAGACTACATGGCCCACTGTTTCCATCTCATAATTTCTACAAAGATTAACTTAGTAAGATAGGACCTAAAACTTTTAGAATTGTACCAGATTCAGTTCTAAAAGATAAATTTATGCTTAAGGCTTAAGCTAAAAAAAATTACACTAATGATAAACCTGGCTCAATCAAAAATCATATAGGCTTATTTAAATTTACAGCCTCTTCAGAGAAAATAAAGAACTTGTTCTCTCAAGCATATTGCAAAAGCAAAAAAGCTAAAATATAATTTAAAAAGGAGATACAAAGGGATGTTTTTACATGAATAGCAAATAACTTGCATAATATGCACACTAAATCCTTCAGATTTGGACAACTAGAATATAGCAATCTAAATTTTTCCTCTTGCTATAAATTAAATACCTTATAAAATAATACATTAAATAAGATGGATTCTTTTGAATTAGGAGATACTAATCTTTTAAGTTGGGAATACATTTTCCAGATGCCAACATTAATTCTTGTGTTTAACATGGAATGGAAAATAGAATGATGCACTGACATGATTGCCCCCAATGTCCTCTCTGTGGTGGTAAAGCCATGGTTTCTCCTTAGTATTCAAGCTCTGACCAATATAGTAGACAAGTGAGCGCAAGCTATATAAGACTTGGTTTGAAGCTGACCAAACACACCTGTCAGAACCCATTCTTACACTATTTCAAATCTTTCTATTTCTTACTGAGGGTTCTGCCATTTGCCTGAAGGGGAGGGGGGAAGGCTCTGTGGGCTGTTTCTCTGCTTTGCTACAATATATCCTTGCATACTTGTTCTTTGAACTATCTCTCCCTTGATGTTACCATGGGGTGCGAAAAGAATGTGCCTCTGGCATGGGAATGGACTCTGTTATCAGCTCCTTTCCTAGAGCGGACTTAACACCTGAGGATTGGCCCATTCAAACTGACCGGATGAACTATTGGGGTGAGGTTTGCTTGGGACTCTTTTAACCTATCTGACCAGGAAACCCTCAGATCCTGCCTATTATGCCTGCTATCAGCTTCTCCTAATGAAAATTCGTTTTGGAAGAAACTGCTCCAAGAGTCCTGCTTTCTTAGGACGAGGTTTTGAAGTGGGCCCTGACAACACCTTAATTTATATAGTCATACCTTTCCTTGTAGTCTCCACTACATGGTTGCCCAGCAAACTTTTTTTCCTTTAGTATGGAGAACAGTTTTACTGTCATCCTGAATTAGGAGTGCCTCTATTTGAACATACAGTCTGAAAACAGTGGTGGTATAATGCCACAGTGAGGCCAAGTAAAATGAATCTTGGCAAGATAGATGCAGGAATTATAACATTTTCCTACTTTTACAAATATATAAGAACTGATATGAAGATTTTGAATTGTTTCTAGAGTCTGCTGTCATTCCTTCAAGGCATGGCAAAAATTCTAGAAATGCTCTTTATTGTAATGATAGAATAACAGCATACTGAATGTCTGTTCAAGATTTTCTCTATCCCATCTTAAGCAAAACAAAATTAAGATGACTTAAAGTCCCTAATTTAAAATTGTATTATGATGCTGTGGCATTGACATGGATTAGTGATTGGTTAAATTTAACAAATAAGAATATACTTTCTCTTAAAGGATGGGATTTGTTATTTGGCTGGCAGGCATATTTAATATATGATAAAAAGGTGGATTCAAATTTCAAGGCTCATGTTTTAAGGAGTGCTTTATTACGAGTTTGGAAGAAATATTATTACAAATTAAATTATAAAATTCCTATATGGGCAGTTCCAGCACAGGTAATAGAAGGGATATCTAGGGGAGTTAATTTGGATAAAGTTTCTTATAAGGAATTACTTTGTCCGTTTGGACAAAGTTGGCAACCTAAATCATTAGCAGATTTGAAACAAGAAAATATTGTGTATTCATGGTTTTATTATAATCAATTGTTAATGAGGTGGCGTATGGATCAAAAAGTTGGTATTACCATGTAGGATGAAAATTTGATGAAACAGATTAAAGATCAATCTCAAGCATATATTAAAAGAATTTATAATGTATTGGTGGAATTGGATTCAGAAACAGAATTGGTTAAGGATTGTATGATAAAATGGGCACAGAATATACAAGAACCGATTTTATTGGAAACATGGGAGAAAATTTGGATTAGAAATGTAAAATTGGGAGACTTCCGGTGGCAGGCGATTTCGCTGGTCGCAGCTGTTTGCTGCCTCCCGCCTGTTTTGCGTAAAAGCCGGTTTGACAGCCAGCATCTGCTGTCAAACGGCTTGATACCTTTCCCCTGGGCATAAGGGGATCGGTGAGCTGCCCGGGGTAGGAGTTGAGTTCCCGAGTCGTCCTATATGGACGATGTAGGTG